CGTTTGTTTTTTATTAAATACCTAAATTTATTTTTGTAAAATATATATAATTCTGTTTGAAAAATAAGAACTGAAAATGAAAAATATCAAAATATATTGTTATATAATTATAAATACTAATATAAAGGCTGTCTTCTGTCTGTGTGCATGTGTATGAATTTCTTATAACTCCTGCAGTTTTTGTCCAGTCCAGATGACATTTTGGTTATAATTGTTTTATGTTCTGATTGAAAGTATAGACTATTTATTTTAAGAAAATATTAGCTATAGAATAAATATTTTATTGATTTGGGATTTGTGATAGCATTTATGTTGAAGTGATGTCAGTGACCTCATTTAGTTCATGCTTGACGAGGGAAGTTGCATTTTTAAATATTTTGGTAAATGGCATATTTTAAACTTACTTCATTAAATTTAAAATTTAAACTTACAAAAAAGATAGTCTCATCATGTCATTTCTATAACAAATTTTTTTAAAATCTCTCCCTAGTGACCACATGATGTTCTATTATCCAGTCAGAAGTAACAATCTAATGAGCTCGTTATTTAGAAAGTGTTATCACTCATGTAATTAACATATGCACAATTCATCATTGTTTTTATCATTAAAAAGACTAACTATTATGTCGGGAAAAAAAATTCCTAGGGGAAGCTTAAGATAAATTCTAGATCTAAAAGAATAAGAACAATCGAGACTCCTGAAGATCGTGAAGTCCGACTTGAGCAACATTGAGTAAGAATGGCTTTGTCAAGGGCTGCTGAAACAGCATCGGAATGTAAGCTTGACTTGAAGCTCTTCTTAATTCTTCGACCTTTACTTTCTCGTTAAAAAATTCTGTCATGTTTGACGGTAAAATTTCTAGTTTATAAATATTACTTAAAACCAAATACGAAGGCTATTTTTTAAATAAGGTCCACTTTTTAATAAGAAGAAAAATACTGTAAATATCATTAAAATATATTTTTTCCCATATTCTACATACTTTTATCTACTTTTCTACATAATTTTCATTTTTGTTCAAACATTTGTCATACCACTCAACAATTTTTTTGAATTCTGACTTCAAAGAAATCTGCCACCTGTGAAAAAGCCCAATCCATGACTGCAGTTTTCACTTCTTTGTCGTCTTTGAACCGTTAACCACCAAAATACTCCTTTAAGTATCGAAACAAGTGAAAATCGCTGGGTGCAATGTCTGGATTGTAAGGTGGATGGATTATTCAGTTGTTCCCATCCAAAAGAACTGATTAGACCTTGTGTTTGTGCAGAAACATGTGGCCTTGCATTGTCATGGAGCAACATCACACCGGAATGCAGTAGACCATGCTTGTTTTGTATGGCATGCTGGAATTTTCTCAAGATCACACAATATGCATCAGAATTGATTGTTGTGCCTCTTAGCATAAAATCCACAAAAAAAATCCCTTTCCTGTCCCAAAAGACAGTTGCCATGATTTTTCGTGCTGAAATGGACTGCTTGGTTTTTACTTTGGTTGGCAAAGACATTGTTGCCATTCCATTGACTGTTGCTTGGACTCAGTAGTCATGTGAGACACCCAAGTCTCATCTCTTGTAATGATGTGGTCCAACAATTCATCTCCTTCTTGATCATATCAAGTCAAAAATGATAAAGCACTGCCCAATCTTTTTGTTTTGTGATTGTCAGAAAGCAGTCTTGGAACCCACCAAGAACACAATTTTCGATAATTCAGTTTCTCCGAAATAATGGTACACAAAACTGATCTTGAAACCTGTGGAAATTCAATTGATAATATTGAAATCGTGAATCATCAGTCCTCTCGAATTTTGTTATCCACATCACAAACCAAATCTTCAGAAATCAGAGGTCAGCCAGGGTGTGGCTCATCATGCACATTAACCCGCTGGTCCTTGAACATTCTCACCCACTTTTGAACTTTGCTGTCACTCATAGCATTATCACTGTAAACTTTACAAATCTGACGATGAATTTCCACCGCTAAGTTTCTTGCACTCAAGAATCGAATAACAGATTATATCTCACAGTCAGTGAGTGACTCAATTTTCTTAAACATTATAAACTTTTACAGCTTTTACACAGAGAGACAGATGATATGGCTGCGAATGGTGTTTTAACATGTGCAAAGCATGCTTGGAGCAGACGCACATATGCACTGCTGTGATTGCGCATCATTCTAACTCTCATTCACAAATGGACCTTATTTTAAAAATAGCCCTCATGTATTACATTCTTAATTTTTAAAAATAATATTTATAAAATTTGGGAGAAATCTATGTTTGAATGGAATAAATTTATTAAATTAGTTTTATGCTAATATTATCTTATTGTAGAAAGAGTGTGTGTGTGTGTGAGAACCCCATGAACATTACCATGAATTGAATTACTTTTACCATAAACTGTTTCCTAATTTTTTGTCAAGTTCTCTATGTATTACAATAATCTATTTTTTAACATGAATATGTCTGACATGAAATTCCATTTCAAATGAACTGATGATCACTGTCTTCAAGAAATTCCTTCACTTAATGAAAACTAAAATGTTTTCTACCAAAATTTCCACAAATCTCAAATGCATGCATTTGGAGATTTCAGATCTTTTGTTTTCATTATTTAAAAATACAATATTATGTGACAAAGAAAGAGATTATTTTGATTTGTGGTAATTTTTTAAATATTTTTAAATTTTAATCTCTTCTCTTAAGGTGGGACTTCCAGAATCTCTTCACCCACAGAAGAGAGATTGTAAACCAGTACCTACATTTTATAGTAGTGACTATAAAATATAGGTAGCTGATTGGATGAAAAATCCCAAATTGAGTTACTTTTTATGTGATCTTAATTTGTTTTTTGTTGCTTGGGCACAGAAATCGTGTGCATTTTGATAACTTGTAACTTTTTCTTTAACATCAGATTACTTTTAAAAATTTATAAATTTTTTAAAAAGTAATTTGGTAATGCAGTTTACAATATCTACTGTGTGTAATGTAAATGTCCATTATAGTAGAAAAAAAATTGAAGTTCAGCAAGATTTGTTTTTGGGAAATTAGAAACTTTGAAGAAAGTGAGTAATGGCAAGTTAAAAAAAAAAATAACAGAAATAGCAAAAAGTACATTATTAAGCATTTTGGAATAAAAAAAATTAAAGCAGCTTACGCAAGTAGTCAGTTTGAGCCTACTTGAAAATGAATGCAAATAGCAAAACTCAAAAAAACAAATATCAGTTAAATGCTAATGAATTTTTTTTTTGTTGCCAATAATGTTAGTAAGTTCTGGTGAAACGAAAAGTATGGTTTTTATTAAATATCTATTATAATTTTTTACATAATTAATGATGTGACTCATAATACAAATTATTTTTAAGTTTCTGGTCACTGTGACTAATTGTGTTAATGAGGTTCAACTGTAATTATTTTTTTAAAACCTTATTCAGATCAAATATTAATCATTAATCAAATGTTACATTAAAATAAAATATAAAGTACAGTGGAACCCCGGTTAACGAATGTCCTGGTTAACGACCAATTCAGTTAACGAACTTTTATTTTGGAAAAATTTTGTCTCGGATAATGAACTTAACTGCTTTTTGTGTCAAATTTGTAAGCTTGCCGACTTTTAGGAAAAATCAGTTAATCGTGTGTCGGTGATGCTCTAGGGTCCATTTGTGTGGTGGTGGTGGTGGTGGTGGAGGAGACAAAGATGACAAGTATTTTACAATGAAAATCATTCATTAGAACGGGAAGATGTTTACATATTTGAGGTAGTTGGAAATGGCTTATCTACAGTATTTTCTCTCGGCACTGAGGAGTGGCATATCGCTGGTCCTACAATAGTGCAAGTTGATCAGTTGTAGCCCCAGAGCATACGAGATGGGTTCGCTTGGTCACAGAAGTGATGGTAGGTGACAGAGCTACAACAACTGGAGCGGTCCGCGAGACACAACACAAATTTTAGCGGGCACGACTTCAGGCTTAATCCAGATGAAGACGACACAGATTAATCGCCATAGAATTTTTAGGAAAACTGCATTTTGACCTTGAGATTCGGGGTTTTTATAGTATTTCTTCCTTGAATCTCACGATTAGTCCTGCATCCCATTCCTCGCTTCCCGATTGTTTTCTTCTTTTGTCTCCAGGTGAAAATCGAAACTACATCAGGTCACGAGAAAGGTTTGTTCCGAGGTGTTTATTTGACACCTGTTCGTCGATTACAGATTGTTGATAGACCTATAAGCCTTTCGCTCATAATTTAGCCTATTGTTTCTGCTATCTGTCATTTTAGAACTTTAACGATCATATGTGGTGTTTTTATACCCGTCAAATCTTTCCCCTTTTCCGAAAATTTAACCTAGATCGACTGTTTATGAGCACACTTTCTTATATTTTTATTAAAGAAAACCCATTTTACAAATAAAATTACAAAAATACTGACGACTAGAACGGATTAATTGTATTTGCATTAATTTCTATGGGAAAAATTGCTTCGGTTAATGAACGGACTCGTGGAATGGATTACGTACGTAACCGGGGTTCCACTGTACTTATATTTAAAATAAGGAAAAATTATTTTAATATCTTGAGAATAATTACTTCAAATTAACGATTTTCAGGCAACAGATACTTTATTTAAATATTTGAATCACTTCAGTCATGATTTAAAATATTCAAACTTTGATTGTTTACATGAAAAGACTTTTTATTTTTTTTTATAATTGCAAAAAACACTAAAAATGTAAAAATTAACAAGACATTTTTACATTTTAAATTAACTAAAATTTGATTCTAAGAAATTATCACTTGTATTCTTAACTTTTTTATTTTAATTTCTTGTTTTCTCAAATAAGATTTGATGGTTTTTGTTTTGTTTGGAAGCAAATGATAATCAAAATGTGGTAAATTTTAAATATACTTAAAATACATTAAAAATAAATTAAGCTGTTTTTGTGTTAATATTCAGATAAATATATAATGAAATTAATAAAAAAAATTTTTTTGTTTTTAGTGAATGGGAACATGGCCACACTAGCTGATCAGGCAGCAAGACTCTTGGATTTTAGTCAGAAGTTGGATATAAATCTTCTTGATAGTGTAGTTAATTGCATGTATACTGGTGAAGGACCTCAGGTATTTAGACATTAAATCTATATAATAATAATAATAATAATAATTTATTTGTTTGTTTGTTCACTATGCATACTTAGGTTGTTCAACCAATTTCTATGAAACTCGGCATTTACATTAACATGCTTCTAACTTAGATAATATCATAAATATCAATCCAAAATATTGATTACATTTCTATGGATTAATTAATTTGTCCACATTTGATTTGCTGGGTTTACACATAGTGCCATCTATTGGAAAAAAGTTTAAGAAAATAATAAACTAAATATAATTCTTAAAATGGATATACTTTTAAAAAATATGTACAGTAGAGCATTGATTATCCAACTCACTTGGGGACTCAGGTTGGTCGGAAAAGAATGAAAAAAATACATTATTAGTATAGTATATTAGTATATCGCTATTAACCAACTTCGTGTTGAACTTTCATCAATATTAAGCCTAACAAATTCTTTAAAAAAATAATAATCGTTACTATTGTATCATTAAAAATTATTTTTAAATTATTTTAGTGCTCACAAAACAAACAACCACTCATAATTAGAAAATACTGGCCTCCCTTCAATGGTCGAGCCTGTATTGCCAGCTAAAACATGCAAAAATTTAACAAAAATAATATTAAAGTAGCCAAGACATAGCCAAATATTGTAGTGCCATATCACTAGCGGACATTTGAAATTTGCGGACTAGAACGGTCGGTTAACCAATGTGACGGTTAATCGAGGGTTGGATAATTGATGCTCTACTGTGTATTATATTCACTTTATTACTGCTACAATGATATAGTGTAAATTAGATGCACTATATTATTACTGCAACAGGTAGCACATAGCACTTGCCTATGTGAAATCTAGTGTTAAGTCCTGTGAAAAGTCTAAGTATTTAATTTTTCACATCTAACAACTGGGTTTTTTTCATTTCTGAATGATATTTTCTAATTCTAATAAATGCCCTCCCATAGCCAAGTGCATGCAACCACTGAACTGTGGTAGTCAGTCATGGGTTTGGCATGGGCAACAGGCTGGCCATGTGGAGTTTCTTGGGTTTTCTTCATGTTAATAACACCTAAATAGGGACCAGCTTTACATGAAAACCTTCCTGGGATGCATTCATTCCCTTTGGTAGATTACACGTGTTGCGTTTCTGTAACAAAATAAACCAAACTAATTCGAATAATTTTTCTATAAACACAGTATTTACAAGGACATACTTCCCGTGTAGTTTATACAATCTGTTACGAAAATATAAACACTATTATTACATAAAAGTAATTATTCTCTCATTTTTCTAAATATTTTTTTTTTTATTTAAACAAGTCACATGAAGTCTTTCAGACATTAAGGTTAGCAACTTTGATCACATGCAGGGCCATCACAACCTATTCAACAAGGATCACTTTTTTAACATTAATAGTTGACCAGTATTCATTAGTAGTCATTGACAGTCTTCTCTTCTGGGAAGAGGTCAACAACTACGTTTGATTGAATTACTTCAGTTCCCTTCTGCAACAGTCCTTTCTATCAAACTAGTAGTATGGTTGCATTTGAATAGGAAAATTACTTAATACAAGGTTATCAGCCTGCACAAAATAAGTTTTCAGTGGTTTTCAAGGGTGCAGAGTTAAATTTTTTTGGACCTTTTTTTGCAAAATTTGATTGGTTGGCAGATTACCATTTGATATTTGGCTGTGAATGGTACAGTTTCTTAAAGTTAACATTAGAAAAAATTATATCTGAAAAAATTTAATGTATCATATTTTCAATTCCTGTCTACTTGACCATTGAAAGTGTGCCATTTCATACCATCTGGGTATTGCAATAAATGTGACAATGATAGGATAAAATGACCAAACTATTTATGTTTGTTATATTATAGTATTTGATATATATAAGTACAAAGGTTATTTTACATAATGGTTTATCATATAGAGTGACCAATCTAACACATTTTAAATGAAAAGAATTCTTTATTCCTCTACTGTACACAATTTAAAGAAATTTTAAAATGCATTAGATTGGGCACTTGGTGTGATAAACCCTTATGTAAGATAACCTTTGTAGTTATACAAATCAAATACAGTGGTACCTTGGTATACGTCTGCTTTAGAATACGTCCAATTTGGAATATGTCTACTTTAAAATACGTCCAATTTGGAATACGTCCTGTTTGGACGAAACAAATTTTGCTCAGTATACGACTTTTGTTCGGTATACGACTTAATTTAATTATATGCGTCATCTATGAACAAGTAGCACTATCTGTGTATTAGACCAGACTAGACGTTCGTGGTGCCACAGTTTATAACTTTGTTAAATTTCTTTTGATTTTAATTTGTAAGTAAAATGTTATTATTTTTATTAATCATGAATTGCAAAAAGGCAACAGAAAAATAAAAAAACGACTAAAATCACAATGGAACTGAAAAAAGAGATTGTTGAGAAATATGAAGATGGCATGTGTGTTCGAGATTTAACTGTTGCATACCGTATTCAGAGAACGACGATATCGACAATCATGAAAAATAAAGACATTATTAAATTTGCTAATGTTGCGAAAGGGGTTAAATCAATTTCTAAACAGAGATCGAAGACATTAGATCATGTTGAGAAATTGCTTTTGCTTTGATAACTGAAAAACAGTGTTCTGGCAACAGCTTATCAGAAGCAATTATTTTCAAGAAAGCTAAAAAGATACATGCTGATCTCATAAAAAATCAAGCAGGAACTAGCCAGGAAAGCAAGGTGTTTAAAGCCAGCCATTTTTTTTTTTTACATGAGAACGGATTAATCATTTTTACATTACTACTTATGGGAAAGGTTGGTTTGGTATATGTCATATTCAGTATACCAGGAACGGATTAAGGTCATATACCGAGGTTCCACTGTACTTGTAATAGAAGGGTTAGAAGTATGAAATACAGCAGAGTGTTATTTATCCAAATCAATTGGGGACTGAGGTTGTTCGGACAACTTATTTTTTGGATAACCGATTATGTATGAAAAAATATATTAACCTATCTTGTGTTGAAATTTTTCTTCGTTGTGTGTCGCTTTGTATTGAATTTTCATCAATGTTAAGCCTAATGTAAACTTTTTAAAATAATAATCATGGCTGTTGTATTGTTAAAAATTATTTCTTTATTTTTTACAAACAAAATAAATATATTGAAAAATATAAAAACAAAAAAAAATTATACTTTAGAAGTTAATCTAGTATCAAAAACGTTCGATTCAGCACAACACACAGTCCTCAGAAAAACACTACACAAAAGTGCCAGTGCTGCCAGCTAAAACACACACCAACAAAACAATATTGGACTAGCCCAAGATATAGCCAAAGATTGCAGTGCCACAGCACTAGTGAAAATTTAAATTTGCTGACTGGAATGCTTTTGGTTAACTGACATTTCAGATAAACAACACTTTACTGTAATCTAATAATCTTAACCATTGTTGTTATTTTTTGCCCGGGCAATGCTGGGCCTGCTAGTAATTTATTAAAAATAATTTATATTGAGTTTCAGTTGAAATGTAATTTTTGTAATATTATTGCTGAAATTGTCATTTCATATATTATATTTGATGATGGGTTTTAATTGTATTGGGAATGAAATTTTGAATGTTTATATAAATTTATTATGACAATCTAAATATATTTTAAAAGAATCATACAAATTAATTTTTTTATAAGAATTTACAATCTCAATACTAATAAGATGATGAAAATGTTTTTGTAAATAAGTAAACTTACAATAATTGTGTGTAATTATTGTAAGTTTATTTGTTTGAAATGACAATTATGTGCTCAAAAAAGTGTTTGGAATTTCAAAAATTACATGACTGTGCAAACCACAGCTTAGAAAAACCTGTGACTAGTTATTTAACTATTTCTGCAGTTATTGCAGTTATACCTGTATGTAATAAAGAACAGTCAGTGTTAAAATATTTAAATCAGTATTAATTATTCATTATTCAATATCAGAATATTCATAATAGTCAGTATTCATTAAAATTCAAAGCATTTTATCATTAACTAGCAGACCTCACCAAGCGTTGTTGTGGCTTAAAATGTATCTATTATAAATGTATAACACTTCCCCCGTGGGGGGAATTTTTCAAAAAATTCCTTCTTAGTGTACATTCTCTTGATGTACCCTATTAAAACGCAATCAAAAATGCAAAAAATCGCATCTAAACTAGTATAATTAGAAGCAGAGTTCTTTACGGTAAGCCTTAATCCTGTCCATCTCCCCTAGTGGGGGGGAATTTCGACATATATATTATATAAAAACACATGCGTATTTGAATGCAGCGTTGTGTTAAAATTTCAAAGGAATCAGTAGGAACTAATGAACATTACATTTTTATTTATATAGATAGATAGAAGATATCTGCTTTAGTTCATCCTCACAGAAAAGCAAACTTACGTCATCATACTCATAACGCCATCTGTTGGACATAAAAGCCTTAACCTTAGATTATATATTTTAATTTATATGAATGTTTAATGGAATAATATACAGCCTATGTCCACCCTGAAGTTCCATTCTAAATATTGGTGAAAGAATTTTTGAAATCAGATGAGTAGTTTTGGAGATTACCCTCTACATACAAACTTACAAACATTACCTCTTTATAATATTAGTATAGATAACTATTAATGATGAAATGTTTTGAGTTTTAATGAATTTAAGTAAGAAAAATATGTTTAGGAATATTATTTTATGAAATTATATTGATATAATTTTGCAGTTGATTGACTTTCTTTTATGCACATTGTCATCATTAAATGACATAATTGAATAACAGATTATTGTAATAATTCCTCTTTTGAATTAAGATGAAACAGAAAATGCAATTAGAACAAGTATTTCAAGTTTTTAAAATATAAATATACACAATAGTAGGCAATAAAGTTGTTTACTATATTGGATGGTCATTATATCAAATGTCCACTGTATGGTATAAACATCTGCAATTTCACAAAGAAAGAACTTAAACTTTACTTGAAACAAAAAAATAATGGCATACATATTTGTATTTTATGTATCATTTACATACAATAAATATGCAGTTAAAAAAAATGATTCGATTATTTGTTCAACCACATTTAACTTTAAAGAGTGCTGTAGTAGTTCATTGTTGGATAGCAATTTTTGTGTCAGACAAAACCTTTATCTTGTTCTATTAAATTTCAAGTAAAATAATTGGAACAAATTATTTTAAGTGAAACTAATTAATTTGAAAATCAAGTGCATCATGGCTGTTCTTTACCAATCTTATTTATAAAATTGTCTCTTATTTCTGCACATTTTAGTATTTCTTCTCCATATTTACTGCTTGATTCAAAGAATATATTTTGCCTGCTTTCAGCCAAAATATTGTTTGACAAACTTCTTTTGCTCAATATTTCATCACTGTTCACATTTTTAGCATATTTCTTTTGCACCAAAAGTTTACAGTAGTATGGGATTCTACATATATTCTATGGACTTAGGTTTTCAAAAGAAGGAGGGAAAGAATTGATATCAAATACAATGTTTATATTACTTAATCAGCACCCTGTAATAGTAAATGCACTGTCTATTGGAGGAAGATATGACTTACTATAAACTGAAAAACTGCATATTCAATTTAGCAATGTCACTGCTACCAAAATGTATTTCTTACAGTATATTGAAACAAAATTAGAATGTTGCATTATTGCTTGAATAATAATAAAGCAAAAAGTTACTGGTTTTATTCTATTAATAGTTGCCCTCAAATAATAGTTTCAATCAATTGCAAATAATAAAAATAATAGTTGCTGATATGAACATATAAGCATTTGAACACAGAGTAGATCATTTAATTGTGAAGAAAACAAATTTGTAAGTAAAAAATTAGTGCACATTCTTAGAATGAATGCTGATTAGTATAACATATTAAAGTTGAGTTGACATTTTCCTAGTACACTGGATGTAATTTTGATGCTGTAAAAGAATTCCTTCTTAGTGTACAGGTAACCCCCGTATAACACGGCACTTCTATAGCACGGATTCACTCTAACACGGTTCGAGAATTGGTACCATTCCCTGTATAACACGGTACTTTTATAGCATGGATTCACTCTGACACGGTTCGAGAATTGGGTAAAACCCTCGTACAACAGGAAATGTAATAAATTTTTACATACTTAAGTAATAATAGTTCACGAAAATTATTATTTTTGTGAACTATTAGTACTTAAGTATGTAAATTTTCTTTTCTCGCCTTCTGTCGATACACGTGGTCCTTCTCGAAACTTGTTTCAATGTTGCCAGATCGCGACGCTTCTGCTTCTGATGTTGCCGAATGTTTTTCCCTTATTCCATACTTGCTTTATTCTTCATAAGTGCTTAGCACCATATAAGGAAATTTATAAAGACCTTTTAACTAGAAGCAAGCAATCTAAAATTACATACATTTTGCAAAAGGTAAAGCATGGATCTGAAGATAATGCAGAAAAATGCTCAGAGGATAAGGATAACTTGCCAAAAAGAAAACGCTCTCGGTTAATTAATAGTGTTTTTAGTGATGACGAAGAAAACATTGTTTAATTTATATTAATATGTATCACTTAAAAAAATTTTAATGAAGATATTTATCTTAATTATGAAAATATACTAGCATGTTTTTTAATTTTTGGAACCTAACCCTCCTTTTCGTATTAGTTCTTTGTTTCGTATAACACGGATTCGCATAACACGGCAATTTTTTGGAACGTAACTACTGTGTTATACGGGGGTTACCTGTACTGTACATTCTCATGATGTACCCTAACTGGGTATCAAATTTCAACTTTCTACTCCTAACCGTTTGGGCTCTGTGCTTATCATCATCATCATCATCAACTCATCTCAATTATATAATAAGATTGGATTTTATTTTAACAATTTTTAATTTGAATATTAATTTAGAAAGACTAAATAATAAATGAATTAAATTTTCAGCAACGAATTGCACAGGAAGTGCTTACAACTTTAAAAGAACATCCGGATGCTTGGACAAGGGTAGATACCATATTAGAATTTTCTAAAAATCAACAAACAAAATATTATGCTTTACAAATTTTGGAGAATGTTATAAAAACTAGATGGAAAGTTCTTCCGAGGCACCAATGTGAAGGTTAGTCATTTGATATATTTATGATATACTTTAAACATGTGTGGGGGGAAAGACACATACAAATTGATTTGCTTCTTTATTATATTTGTTATAGTCACCATTAATTTTAATTTTGTTCTTATGTTATGCATATATTTTAGGAATAAAAAAATACATTGTTGGTTTGATAATTAAAACATCCTCTGATCCTGAAAGCTTGGAAAAGGAAAGAGTTTACTTAAATAAATTGAATATGATTTTAGTGCAGGTAATTTTATTATAAACTACAAATAAATTAAATTCTTATAAAATTTTAATTTATCAATATTTTTTCTTTTTTAGATATTAAAAAGAGAGTGGCCAAAAAATTGGCCAACTTTTATAAGTGATATTGTAGGAGCCAGTAAAACCAATGAAAGCCTTTGTCAAAATAATATGAATATCTTGAAACTTTTAAGGTATTTGATTTCTGTAAAGCATTTTAATACATAAAAATTTGATAATTATATATTAAATTTTTATTATAGTGAAGAAGTATTTGATTTCTCAAGTGGACAAATGACGCAAGCAAAGGCCAAGCATTTGAAAGATACTATGTGTAGTGAATTTTCTCAGATTTTTCAATTATGTCAGTTTGTTATGGTAATGAACCTAATTTTTTTTAATTTGTTTAATTAGACATTATAAAATACTTATATTTTAAATTTCTTTTATTAAAGGAAAATTCTCAGAATGCTCTACTTGTCCATGCTACATTAGAAACACTCTTAAGATTTTTAAACTGGATTCCTCTTGGTTATATATTTGAAACAAAATTAATAAGCACTCTCATTTATAAGGTATTGCCATTTTTTTTACTGTTCAGAAGCAATGCTTTGAATTATTTATATGTCTGTTTTAAATATGAATGTATACTGTATATATTGAAGTTTAAATATAATTTTTTTTATTGCAGTTTTTAAATGTACCAATGTTCAGAAATGTTACATTGAAGTGTCTGAATGAAATAGGTAAATATTATTTTAAAATTTATTTTGAATACTACAAAAGATAAATAAATCTTACTTTTGGACTTGTATTGTGATGTTTATTAAAATGTATATGCAAAAATTGTCAAAGTTTTGACATAATTACAAAGTGCAATGTGTGAATTATTTATGATCCTTTTGATCTAAAAATAAAATGTGTGTTTCTTTTTTAAAAAATTCTGAAGAATTCTTAAAATGTACAGAATACTTTTTGATATATTATCATAATGCATTAAAAATAAAAACATAAGGCTTTTGTTTTATTCTTTAAAGAAAATTAAATTAAATAGGATCAGTTGTTTTGTGTATGTTGCTGCAGTGGTTCTCAATCTTTTATTCATTGTTGTGTTAGTGTAGAAAGTTGTTGTAACCTTCTACCCTTCTCACTCAACAAACTGTTGCTAGCTATTTCTAACATTTCATTCAACTTTATTATTTTTATTTATAGAATTTTCCTAGCTGATATCATAGATAAAGACAAAAAAGCAAGTGTACAAAACAACAATGAACAAAAATTCCCAAATTTTTGGCATAAACTTCTATTGACTTTGCAATACACAATTGAGAACTGCTATGTTTATAATGTATAGTGGTGGGAGGTAAAATATTTTTATTGATTGTTTTCTTTCAGTATGGTAACCATGACTTTCTAGTTGTTTTCAAATCATCTATTATTTTTTTAATTATTATTTTTAAAAGTTTATTTTTTGATGATAAAATATTTAAAGAAAAATTATCAAAATGCAATATGATGAAAAATAAAGCATGAAGTTATGATTAATCAATACTAGCATGTTTTTTAATTTTTGGAACCTAACCCTCCTTTTTGTATTAGTTCTCTGTTTCGTATAACATGGATTCGCATAACACGGCAATTTTTTGGAACGTAACTACTGTGTTATACGGGGGTTACCTGTACTGTACATTCTCATGATGTACCCTAACTGGGTATCAAATTTCAACTTTCTACTCCTAACCGTTTGGGCTCTGTGCTTATCATCATCATCATCATCAACTCATCTCAATTATATAATAAGATTGGATTTTATTTTAACAATTTTTAATTTGAATATTAATTTAGAAAGACTAAATAATAAATGAATTAAATTTTCAGCAACGAATTGCACAGGAAGTGCTTACAACTTTAAAAGAACATCCGGATGCTTGGACAAGGGTAGATACCATATTAGAATTTTCTAAAAATCAACAAACAAAATATTATGCTTTACAAATTTTGGAGAATGTTATAAAAACTAGATGGAAAGTTCTTCCGAGGCACCAATGTGAAGGTTAGTCATTTGATATATTTATGATATACTTTAAACATGTGTGGGGGGAAAGACACATACAAATTGATTTGCTTCTTTATTATATTTGTTATAGTCACCATTAATTTTAATTTTGTTCTTATGTTATGCATATATTTTAGGAATAAAAAAATACATTGTTGGTTTGATAATTAAAACATCCTCTGATCCTGAAAGCTTGGAAAAGGAAAGAGTTTACTTAAATAAATTGAATATGATTTTAGTGCAGGTAATTTTATTATAATTTTTGAAATCAGATGAGTAGTTTTGGAGATTACCCTCTACATACAAACTTACAAACATTACCTCTTTATAATATTAGTATAGATAACTATTAATGATGAAATGTTTTGAGTTTTAATGAATTTAAGTAAGAAAAATATGTTTAGGAATATTATTTTATGAAANTTATTACATTAATCTAGAATTGTATTTGCTTTTATTGTATGTAAAAAAATAATTTTAAATTATCCAGAAAAGTGTTTTAGAATAGTGTTGTGCTCTCTAATCTAAACTAATTGTACAGGATTGCTCAGATTAGTAAAAAGTTCAGATTAGCAGGTTGCATGTAAAGAAGAAATATAAAAAAAGAAAAGGCTATAGAAATATACATATGTTTAAAAAATTTACTAGTTAAATTGCTGTATAATTTGTAGATGAACATATGGATATATGTCAATAAGAAAAAGATTCTGAAACTGATGCAAAATTTAAAAATTAGAAGATATTTATTGTATTCAGTTATATTGACAGTAAAATGCATTTCAAGAAGCTGTTTAACTTGAATGTAAACATTCAAGTTAAACAAATGAACAATTAAAATACAAAACAAGTATTTTTATAAAATATTTAAATCACTTCTATGTACAGCAGAAAAATATTTGGTTTTATCTAATTTATATACTGTATAACAAATCTAGCTAATTTTATCATCATGAAATTGAATAAAATATAATACAAATTAAAAGTAACAATTTTAAAGAAATTAATTTCTTAAAAATAATAAGCAAGATATTTTTATATGATATGTGTAATTTATTTAATTGAGACTTTCAAATTTTAAAATATCATTACATATTTAATTAATTTTTTTAATATTGATGTGTAAATTAAATAACACTTGTTTTATGTTTTTTTAATTAATTATAGTCAAGAAAGTAAATAGCCTTAAAGCTTTTTAGAATGAAAGTGTAGCAATATCTTAACATTATAAATGCATGATTGAATACATGAGATACATTCCAAAAATAATAATAGCTATCTATGGCAGTACATTATTCATGATCTATGCACAGTTGTCATAAACTTAAGAAAAGCAGAATCATTTGCAATTTAAGGAAACTTTTACTAAATTAAGTACTCCACTTGAGCTATGCTCTACAATAAAAATCAGTACGTACACTTTAACAGGCATCTTGATATATGCCTGGAAATATCAATTTTCTCATGACATAGAGGCAATCAATTTATGTGCTCCTTGCATTTGCCTATAATTACCACTTTGTGGGTTCTCCTTTTGCAGCATACTTACTTACAACTTGTCTAGGCATCAATGTAGGCACAACAAAGGTTTTGTGAAATGTTGTCCCATGCATCTTGAAGTACTGTCTTTATCTTATCTTTTGTTCAGGGCCTTTTTTTTTTTTTTTTTTTTGAGGACATGTGCCACTGGTCATTGATTGGATGAATTTGGTGGACTTGGGACTTGTATCAAATTTTGTCAAAACTGAGTAGTAGTGGAGTGAGCAGTATGACAGTTTGATGAGTTTGGGAGATCACATCTCCCTGCAGATGTAGGCAGGTCACAGAATGTAAAATTGCCTAGTAGCATTGTGCATTAACAATCCCATCATGAAGAATTAAATTACAGTGCCAGGATATTCAAAATACTCCCACACTTGACTTCTTGCTTCACACAATTTTGAGCAAGCTCTTCATTGGGCCATCTGATGACTCTTTGTCAAATTTTTCATATACAACAAGGAAGGATGACTTATCAGACTAAATTATATTTCTATTGCGTTTCCATCTGGGCAGGTGGTCCCTGGCCCATGATAATCATTTCCTATTCTAAACTGATGTTAACATGGGTTTCACCTTACTCTTATATGAATCTTAGCTCATGTCATGTAGCCTATGTGTTAGCAGTTTGTTGAGTTACAGGATGATCTATGGGTCTGCTCCACAATTCTGCCTAAGTGAATGTACCATGTTAGTATTTCAAGACAAGATGATGTAAAATTTGATTTTCCTTGATCTTCATTTTTGCATCTAGGTGTTGTGGAATGGTTTCCTCAGAGTATCCAAGCTATACCCAAAAATGCAAATTATAGAAAAATATCCAACCTTTTTAAAAAATTTTTTTTTAACTAAAATAAGCATGACATGTCTTAATTATCAAATTTTGTTGATAGATTAGTTTCTAACAAATATTTTGGTATTTTCGAATGCTAAACCTGAAGCAGATTCAAGAAATAAACCAAAAATGTTTGTTTATATCTTAAACAGCTTGCTGGAAAAAATGTAAAAGGTATTGATTTGATATTATATAGACTTATGTATGGCATTTGGAATTGTACCTCATTTATGTTTGAATTATGATGGAATTCTGTCATAAGTTGGAAATAACTAATAATTTGTTATCACTTATACTAGCATCCATCTTGAAATACTGAAGTCATTTCAATGGTGCTAATAGTATGATATTTTCTGGATGTTCTGTATTTTTGGAAAATGGAATTGGTGCATAAATAGAATTTTTTTTAATTTTCTGTTTATTTTTTGAAGTATCCACAATTTTTACTTTCTTGGCTTTAAGATTATAACATACGGAAAGTATGGTGATCAGTCAAATTTTGGCTCCCCGAGTTTTTTTTTTTTTTTAATTTTTATTGTTTGACATTCATGGAGCCCAAAAATATAGGAAAAAATCCTTACAACATTTTGTGTGTTTGTGTCAGTGTCTATTTTACATTATATCTCAGGACTGGATAAATCAAAAATTGATAAAATTATCAAATAAATGTTTGGGTCACAATCACTAAATGGTATTGCAATGTAATGAACATGAAGTTTAATTGCAAAATTGAAAGTATTTAATTTCTTATCATGCTCTGATTGCAAGAAAGCAAGGTGATAACACCAAAGCGAGAAAATCACATTGTCAAAAAAGCTGTAATGACTTATTTGAAATAAATTGGGATTGGTCCAGTTATTGAAACCGGGAGAAAAAGATAGAATGTGTAGCATTGTGATATAGGTTAAATATTCTACATTGTTATTTTATTGAATTGCAATTGTTGCACATAACAATTGCGAGAGTACATTGCTCTCACACTGTGAGAGAATTTACTGCAAGTGGTAGTAAAGTATTGTTTTTTTTTGTAATATTTCTCTTAAAAAAAAGTCAAACTTGAAAACCACTGTAGGAATCACTTCAGAACATATCAGTTGAGGAATATTACAAAGCTCGCAGTTAAACTTTTATTTATTTTTGAGAAATTTAAGAAAAAAAATGCCATTTATCTGCTGGATACATACATTCAAAGATGCAAGTTAACCACCAAAATTTAATAGCATCAATGACCTATATATATATAGAATTAGAGGGGGGTCACATATGAATTGGGTCAAGCTTAGTGAAAATTTTATTTATTGGCATTTACAATATTTTTAAAAACTTGTCTCTACCATCAAAATTAAGTCTCTTGCTTTCTATAATAATCAATAATATAAAAGTTACTTTTTAATAAAATTTCATAAAAGTGGTGACACCAATTTTGACTTTGTGCTAATAAGTCTTAGTGTCTTTTAAACTTAAATATTTTTCTAAATAGAGAAATTTCTAATAATTTTATAAAATTACTTGTTGTCTTAAGCTGTTTTTTATTTAAATTTTATAATGTAGTACAATTAAAAACTAGCAATTATTTATTGAGACGTAGTCACAATGCCAGGCTGCAATTTTTAATCATATTTTTAATTTATTTAATTTAAAATATATGCTCTCCACCTCAAATTAGTAATATATTATACTACTAACTTGCTCCTGTATATTATACTTTTTTGCTAGCAATAGAGTCATGCTGTTCATCTGTCTAGCTCCTTTCGTGGGAAATTTTTGAATTGAAATAACGTAACTTCAGTTTGCATGGGAAGTTCATATGTAGTTAATTGGAACCTCCTGCCTCTAAGCTTTCCATGTCAGGTCTTGACTTTCATCTAACTCCATTCCAGAGATTAAGAAAGGACAGATATACAATAGTCAGCAACAGTGGAAATTTATAGGTCTACAATTTTTTCAAATTACAGCCTAATTATCATACTTTCTTTCTGGTTCCCTTAACATCGTGTTTCAGTACTGGAAAAGTTGAGCAAAACCCCATGTTAGTTTTTTCCAAATGGAAACTAGGCCTTTGTGTCTTAATTCTGGGACAAGATTAGGCACAATGTACTTCCATTTGATATTTTCCACTTATATGATGATTTCTGATTATCATGAGGATTTGTGGCAGCTTAAATTCTGGAATTTTGAGTGTTATGCATCCCAACAGATAAATTCATGCTTCATTGGTAACCAGATAATGTTGAGTACTTCTAGTATATTGCATGTCAGCTCTTGGCACTACAGATAATATCTAAATTTTTTTTGTCTTTATCAGGTATCAATAAATGATACACTGATGATGATCTATGTGATTTCAGTTGTGATTTTTTTACTGTCTTTTGACATGTCAAATAAGAGTGTCTTGTTTCTTAAGAGAATTTCCACAGACTTTTTATGAAACTTTTGCAGTCTGACATAACCACCACAAACAACAGCCTCAGAATTGGTGATTTTGTTTTCTTCGTTTGTCCACAAGGATTCTTATGGTTCCTACTTTCTGTGTCAATTCGTATATTTGTGATTTTGAAGGAGCTTGTTACATGTCAAATTTTGTCCTAAATTGCTGGGTTGTGTGGAAACATCCTGTGACATAGTAGTTTGTTGAGTTACAGGATGATCTATGGGTCTGCTCCACAATTCTGCCTAAGTGAATGTACCATGTTAGTATTTCAAGACAAGATGATGTAAAATTTGATTTTCCTTGATCTTCATTTTTGCATCTAGGTGTTGTGGAATGGTTTCCTCAGAGTATCCAAGCTATACCCAAAAATGCAAATTATAGCAAAATATCCAACCTTTTTAAAAAATTTTTTTTTAACTAAAATAAGCATGACATGTCTTAATTATCAAATTTTGTTGATAGATTAGTTTCTAACAAATATTTTGGTATTTTCGAATGCTAAACCTGAAGCAGATTCAAGAAATAAACCAAAAATGTTTGTTTATATCTTAAACAGCTTGCTGGAAAAAATGTAAAAGGTATTGATTTGATATTATATAGACTTATGTATGGCATTTGGAATTGTACCTCATTTATGTTTGAATTATGATGGAATTCTGTCATAAGTTGGAAATAACTAATAATTTGTTATCACTTATACTAGCATCCATCTTGAAATACTGAAGTCATTTCAATGGTGCTAATAGTATGATATTTTCTGGATGTTCTGTATTTTTGGAAAATGGAATTGGTGCATAAATAGAATTTTTTTTAATTTTCTGTTTATTTTTTGAAGTATCCACAATTTTTACTTTCTTGGCTTTAAGATTATAACATACGGAAAGTATGGTGATCAGTCAAATTTTGGCTCCCCGAGTTTTTTTTTTTTTTTAATTTTTATTGTNGCATTTTTATGAATAAAAATTTGACAAACTATTTATCGTTTTATGACGTGTAAAATTTTTTTGTCGCATTCGCTGCTTTTAAGTAATGCATAAACCTTCGAGGTGCGAGGTCCTTCGGACCACGAGGCATAGACGGTGGGCCACGTCATCCATGCCTTATGCTGCCCTTGGTCATAGAAATGATGTAATTTGAATATAAATAATTTATAAATACGTATGTCAAATTATATTTTTATTATGATGTAAAATATATTTAAGAGTTTACAACCATTGTGCTGGGTGAGACGCTGTTGAAACAAAAAAAGTTATGCATTCCATCACGTACATAAACAGTGTCGTAATTCGCCAAGTGCAAATCAGCAATTTCGTAAAATTGTTGTTTATTTTGAACAATCCGGATAATGGAGGTCCGGATAATCAAGGTTCTACTGTATATACATATACAATGAACACAGGTTCTATAGATTATGCAATTTTCTGTGGCTGTTACTGCCATCTATTCTTCAAACCAAACTATACTTAAAATTAATCAACATGAAGTGCATGAGAATTTAAGTAGTTAAAAGCAAATCTCTATTGTAGTTTGTTTTATAGTGATTTTGGTTTTATAAGAATCCTATATTTTAGTTATACCATGTGTATTTGTAGAAAAAATAAGTTATAATTACAAGTAACAAAAAAATGTTATTGTATTATGCAGGTTTGTTTTTTCCCTTTCAGCTAGTAAAATTTTTCTCTGAATTAGATAGGATAATATTGATTTAAAAGTATATATATATATATTATATATATATATGTATGTATGTATGTATACTTCAATTTATTTTGTAGTTTGATCTTGATCTTGTTCAACAAAAGATGAGCTTCTCTATGTGGCAAACATCTTGTGGAGTCAACCATGTTAAAATTTAGTTTCATTTGTTAATTTATTTACTGTTTAGAAAACATTACATGAAGAGTTATTACTTCTTTTAACTTGAAAATTATTTAATACTGTTTAACTTTTATATAAATGTTACTTCAATTAATGTAAAAAGAACTTCTACACTGTAGAGTATAAAAAAAAAATGTAACGAAAGTTAAATCAATGATGTTATCTTTACTTCTAGTCTTGTTAGCATTTCCATCATTTTGCCATCATGTATAAACAAGATGAAATATTGCACAGTGAAGCCCATGGATGTTATCTTAAATGTGTAGAATTATTTTAGTTTCAAAATTTACTTTATAGTGATGTTAGCATCACAATTATCATGTTGTGTATCTTAGCCATCAACAAGACTGACCAACCATTCATTATAAATGGCATTGAATGGGTCATCTTTTGTTGGACAGACTAAATTATATTAATTTTCTCTTTTATGTAAGAATATAATAATAAAATTGAAAGATTAAAAAAATAATAATAATAACCTTTATTAATTTCATTATATTATTAACTCTGCTTTATTTTTAAGATGCTCCCTCCATCAACAAATATTAAAGATGCTTATTCTAATGGTCAAGATGAAGAACAAAAATTTATACAAAATTTGAGTTTATTTTTATGTACTTACTTAAAAGAACATGGAAATTTGATTGAGAAACGTTCAGATTTACAAGATACTTTACTTGCAGTAAGTATTAAGTTTTTTTATTTAAATGAAGTTTGAAAATTTTGATCAAATAAAATCAAATACAGTGGAACCTCGCATAACAAGCAAAACAAATAGTAAAATAATGACTCACTTAATGAGCAATATTTTGCATAACAAGTGACAAGAACAGGGGAAGTTCAGGATTGTGAGCATGCTCTATCAGTCTGTGTTTAGCACTCGTTCCGCTAGCATCTTACTGTCGCTTGTGATCACATATTTTTCCAAACTTATGTTCACACATATTACATATAAACATCAACAACCATAGTCCATTATATAATAAACACACCAAACGATATGCCAAATTCTTGGGCTATGTAAATTCTATAATTAAATAGTAGAAATTAATTAATTTGACTAGAGGTAGGCAGTTATGCTGCCATCTTGTAATAAATTTAATGACCAATTCCAAATTAAATTTTAGAAATATCTAAATTATAAATTAGTTATTTATAATTGTTAAATTTAATACGAGATGGCAGCATAACTGCCTACCTCTAGTCAAATTAATTAATTTCTACTATTTAATTATAGAATTTACATAGCCCAAGAATTTGGCATATCGTTTGGTGTGTTTATTAGACATATTATCTGTGATTTTTTTTTTTTTTTGTTCAAATCGAATTTGCATTTCAGGTTGGTTTGTTCTTCGCTAGAAGAAATGATGATGATTCATGCTCCTTAACAATGTATATTGTATAATTTTTTTTGAATAAATGTTATACATAAAATATTTGAGTACTGTTTTTGGCATGGAACACATCATATTTTACATTAATTTATATGGGAAAAATTGTTCCGCATTACGAGTAAGATTCTGGAACAAATTATGCTTGTTACGTGAGGTTCCACTGAACTTTGTTTTTTCTTTGTGTTTTATGTAATTCTTTTATATGATTGAAAAATTCAAATAAAAATATTGTTTGTAAGAAAATAGTAAGGGTAACAAAATATAGTTGAAATTCCATATAACAGATTGCCTTCAGGAAGCAGAAAAGAATATGTTATATAGAAAATTGATTAAATGGGAAAGCACAAGTAGTGAAAACAAAAACAGCATATTGTAACGATGTTTTATTCTTCATGCAAAAGTATACGTACAATATTTTAAGTTTTTATTTTTATAATATATTTTTAAACAATAGAATGAAATAAAATAGAAACTGAATTTAATGCTATTGTTGGAGTAATTCCAAGAACAATAGAACAGTTATGGGAGTATTATAAAAAAGAATGCTTAAAAAAAGGCTGTGAAAGGCTAGTATTGCACTTTAACCTATCTGATGTTGAAATTCTTCTCTATTGCTTGTGACGCCATGTCGAATTTTAAGCCTTCAATGTTAAGCCTAACAAAAATTACGTGTTTTTTAAAAAGTAATCATGGCTATTTTATCATCAAAAATTATTTTTTATTTTTCAGAAACAAAATAGATATATTAATAAATATAAAAACAAAAAAAATTATATTTTGGAAGTTAGTTTTAATATAAAAATTATAATGAGTAGCGACATCTAGTTCCAAAAATGTACCGATAGTGTAACAAGATATCGCAGGTCAGTCAAGGTCAAAGGTCACAACCACGAGAATTGTTGAGAATAACACAGGACAGGTTAAGTAAGAATCATAACACAACCTGTTAAAAAAATTTGTAATAATGATTATTTATACATATAAAAATATGCACCTAATAAATTAAAATTTAGACAGTTTGAATAATTCATTTTCATTCATATTGACAGACAGATTTTTTTAAAATTCTTTCAATAACCAAATTAATTTGTAATTCTGAATTGAACCACCAGACATTATGAAAGTTAAAAGTTCAGAATGAACTTGATGAATTTGTTTAGTAATTATCAGTTTTGCACTGAATTGGGATTAAACTCTAACTATAATTTGACATGGTAAATAGGAACATTTTTTAAAAAATAATAGGAATTAAATAATAAAAATTTAAAATAGTAAAAATTATTTTACTTATATATATATGTTACTGTGAAAGACCGAAATTAGAGAATGTCGATATTTTCCAGTGAATGTTGACACATACAAAATATGATGGTGAAAGACCAAATATTTGGTTATATTTATATTACACATTCAAACAATTGCTGGTGTATGTCGACAAGCACAGATAAGTCTTGGTGGAGGTTGAAACGACACCTGAGAAGGTTAACAGAGAGGCGACAGTCTGTCGCCAAATTCTTCACTGTTTCCTTCTGCTCAAATTGGTAATACCGTATGAATACAAGTCTCTGATGTCGACCATGGTCGTACACATGCCTGAAATGTGTTGGTGGTTGTTGTTGGAATAGAAGACTCTGACTTTTATAAATTAGCAAACAAAAATGATATCCTCAAGCAGCTTTATACCCGTAAACAGTTTGTAATTTGTAAAGAAAAGTTACTCTCAAAGATATTTCTTCTCAAGAAATATCTTTGAGAGAAGCAGCTGCAGCTAATTCAAAAAGTGGAGGGCAAGGCTATACACATTGTCATTGCAAAAGGATGTGTTCCATGAATAAATTCTGTTGTAAAACAAGGAGCTCTTGTACAATTCAAAGTGCCATAACAGTTTAAGTTGTTGCAATAAATAAGATTGTATAACGTTAATCACATAATTTATGTGTAAGTTTACTATTGTATTATTTTCTTTAATGATTTGGAATGTACTGTTCGTTTTAGTGTTTAACGGTTTATTTACATGCACTGTTACTTAAGCTTTCCCATATTTTGACATATTAAAAAGTTTCGTATTTGTCTTAACGTAATAAAAATATTTTTATTCAACATTCACCATTAGTGCATGCTGAATGTCGACATTTGTTGGTGTAAGTGAGAAATAATGATATTTAGCAAATATTTTGTACATACATGAAACGACTGTGTGAATGCTGACATTCACCAGATATTAATCATTCACAGTAACATATATATATATATAAAACTGTCCTTTTGATTTCTTTATTCTGAATTTGTTTTTAAGCTGAGCATTTGACATTATGATCTATATAACATATTCTGTAATCTGAAATTTAAAAACTGAAAATACAGTATATATTTGAAGACTATTAGGTTTAGTTAGTTACAAATTTTGCATAGTTTATTTTGTTAAATTGAATAAAATATAGTGAAACCTTGATTTAATGGACTAATTTGAGTGAGGGGGGTGTCCATTAAAGCTGTGTCTATTACATAATAAAGTAGGTTTTCCCAATGCATATGTTAAAAATTAAAAAATTAGTTAATCTGTTTTTTACTTATGTATTACATTTGTGTAATTAAACTTAGGTATATAGGAAAAGTCTAATTTCACTGAAGAGTTTTCTATATGTATTATTGCTTATGTACTCATAGTTCTGAGCTGTAATAAACAAGTACATGATCTAAATTGAAATAAACTAGCATTTTTGGAAAATGCGCTTTAATTGTATTTAAATAAACAAATAAATAATCTTAAAAAAACAAACAAATTAAATTTGACACAAACAAACAAAAATTTCCTATTTATTCATCTTCGGATGATGATATATTGAGACACTGATATAGCATAAAGTTAAGAGCAGTGACTCTGATTTGAAAAAAACTGTTAATTTAATTATGTATGAAAAGCATTTTAAAATTAACAGTGTTAATTTTCACATATGACATATGGACTAGAAATAATTTTCCAATATAGTAATGAATTTCTTGTTTTGTAAAAAAAAATGTTCTTTATATTTATATTTTATTTATGAATTAAAAACAGTTGGTTCTGTGAATAATGCATTTTCATTTTCTGTATTTATTGAAAATGACNTTAGGATACATGTCCTTGAGTGAAAAACAAAGGATTTGAATTTATAGTTCTTTTGATTGTTTCTCTTTATAATATCTAAAAATGGTCTATGCCTAATATTGTTAAAGTTTGTTTTAGATTATAAATTAATTAAAATATTGTTAAAATATTTTACATCTTTATAGAAACTCACGATGGTGTGCAAGATATGGCATGTGATACTTTTATAAAAATTGCACAGAAGTGTAGACGACTCACATATGACATATGGACTAGAAATAATTTTCCAATATAGTAATGAATTTCTTGTTTTGTAAAAAAAAATGTTCTTTATATTTATATTTTATTTATGAATTAAAAACAGTTGGTTCTGTGAATAATGCATTTTCATTTTCTGTATTTATTGAAAATGACGTTCTCATCTTTTTCCCCAGGCATTGCATTATTTACTTTTGATATCAGAAGTTGAAGAAGTAGAAATTTTTAAAATCTGTTTGGAATATTGGAATGCATTAGCAGCAGATTTGTACAGAGAGAACCCTTTTACTGGTGTTTCTGCAACACCACTTATTTTACCACGTGGTCCTAATTCAGTTGTGCCACTCAGAAGACAGTTATATCAACCAGTTCTTACAAAGGTTTTAACTTTTCTGATATTTAATGTCTAATTTTCAATTCAGTGGTTTTATTTATATATGTTTTTTCGTTTTTTAGCTTCGTTATATAATGATTGGGAGAATGGCTAAACCTGAAGAAGTGCTTGTTGTTGAAAATGAACAAGGAGAGGTTGTTAGAGAATTTATGAAAGATACAGATTCAATTCAGTTATATAAAAACATGAGAGAGACTCTTGGTAAATAATAATGGATCATATCAATAATATATTTAAATTATTAATACTTATTAATAATAAATCATTTCAGTATATCTTACTCATCTGGACTATAATGATACCGAGAGAATTATGACAGAAAAGCTTCATAATCAGGTTAATGGAACAGAATGGTCATGGAAAAATTTGAATACAGTATGTAATAAATTTAATCATAATTTAAAATTGTTTTTAATTATATGTGGAAATAACATATCTAATTTTTAAAAATTTTTAGTTATGTTGGGCTATAGGTTCAATTAGTGGTGCAATGTATGAGGAAGATGAAAAGAGATTTCTAGTCACTGTTATAAAAGTAATATTATTAATTTAAAACATTTATATTGAATTTTTATGCTAAATAATTCATATTTCTGTAAGAGTTATAATTTTATTTTTACATCTATTTATTAGGATCTTCTTGGTTTATGTGAACAGAAACGAGGGAAAGATAACAAAGCAATTATTGCATCAAATATAATGTATGTTGTTGGACAATATCCAAGGTTCCTGCGTGCCCATTGGAAATTTCTGAAAACAGTTGTAAACAAATTGTTTGAATTTATGCATGGTATTTATAAATATTTTCTATAAATAATTTTAAATTCTTTATATTTCTGATTTTTCTTGCTGTATTAAATGAATCAAACAAAAAGAAAAACATTGCTATCTGATTGAGTTATCAAAATAACAACCTCTCAATTGAATAGGTTGATACATTGTCATTTCAATCAGTGAATACTTCATTGCAAATCAAGTAACATTTTCTGCTGTTTTAAACAGTGAACTTCAGGCTAATATACATTTATAATTAGTGGAAAAGAGCATATTGTTCATAATTATAGCTAGGGCAGTAGACAAAAACCTGTTCTTGCATCATGTTGGTGCTCTGTAGTCCTGTATCTCATTGACTGCTTTACGGTCCCTATATATTCAAGTGTCTGATTAGTCCTGCCATCCCACACAGGTGTACTGTATATGCCTGATGACATCCATGGGTGTACCTTGCCCTTGTCATTTTGGAGAAGCTTATATAAGGTTGGGTTTCTCCTATAATAAAGCTTAATCTCTGCATCATTTGCTATCCTCCTATAAATATTCTTAAGAGATTCATTATAATTCACCACTTTATAGCTCTTCTTAACTTCCATCTCTCTTTGCCTGGGTGCCCTCTTCATATCCCTTTATTAGGCATTCCACTAATCCTGTTCATATCTCAACTCTCCTGCAATCTGTGAGATACAAGCAAGTTCTTCTCACAACTTATTAATCTTGGTCATATACAGTTTTTATAAGCACTCTAAAGGCTGTCATTTTAAAGTATCATGGTTTACTTGATGTATAGAAGAGAAAGGGCTGTATCCTTGCTTCCTGTAAACAAGTGATTAGGCAAGTTACTACAGATGTTCAGAATATCCTTCTTAAAGAAATACTACCCTGTCCAAGGATGTGTTTTCTGGCCAAGCATAGCCACTGCCCATTATATTATGCTTGTGATACGGTTGGCAAGTTGGATCATTATGGAATTTGTTGCATCTCCTGTGAAGCCAATGTCCAAATGTTTTGCAACTGAGACCAATTGAGAGATCTTGGTACCAAATAAAAGTAAAAAGTTTATGAAAATAGTTGGGAACCTGGATCCATGAAGGGGTTGGAGAACAAGATCAAGGCCAAATTTTGCCACTTCAGAGCTGACCAGTTTTCATGGTTAATGGAATGGGTTAAAACTAAAATTTAGATTGCAGCCAGTTGTGATCCTGATTATCTCATCTGAACATTAAACAATCTATCTGCATCCAATAAACCTTATTTTGAAGTAAATAATGATTTTTAAGAAGTTTGAAATTGTGACAATTTTTAGGATACATGTCCTTGAGTGAAAAACAAAGGATTTGAATTTATAGTTCTTTTGATTGTTTCTCTTTATAATATCTAAAAATGGTCTATGCCTAATATTGTTAAAGTTTGTTTTAGATTATAAATTAATTAAAATATTGTTAAAATATTTTACATCTTTATAGAAACTCACGATGGTGTGCAAGATATGGCATGTGATACTTTTATAAAAATTGCACAGAAGTGTAGACGACATTTTGTTCAGGTAAATTATTATTATTATTTTAAGATTTATTTTAGACTACCTTTTTCATATTTTATATTTGTATTATTTATTTTTTTATTATAGATTCAAGTGGGAGAAATAATGCCATTCATTGAAGAAATATTAAATAATATCAATACAATAATTTGTGATTTACAACCTCAGCAGGTGTGTTGTTTAAGATCATCTAAATCTTGGTTTATTTAAATAACAATTGCTTTTAATTATTAAAATATATAAATTTTAAATAACATATTGCATTTCTATAATACAATGATTAATATATTTTTTCCTCTCTCCCTTAAATTTTTTTTTATCAATGATATTACAAGTTTTTTATCAATGATATTACAAGTCAAATAATGAGAGAGAAGTTTTGTAAATTTTTCAAAATGTTTCTTATTTTTGATATACAGTAGAGTGTCGTTTATCCGAATCATTTGAAGACTAGGGTTGTTCGGATAACCGATTATGTACGAAAAAATATATTAACCTATTCCATGTCGAAATTTTTCTCTGTTGTGTGTCACTTTGTGTTGAATTTTCGTCGATGTTAAACCTAATGTAAACTTTTTAAAATAACAATCGTGGCTATTGTATCGTTAAAAATTGTTTTTTTATTTTTTACAAACAAAATAAATATATTGAAAAATGTAAAAACAAAAAAAATTATACTTTAGAAGTTAATCTAGTATCAAAAACATTTGATTCAGCATGACACACACTCCTCAGAAAAAACCACACAAAAGTGCCAGTGCTGCCAGTTAAAACACACACATCAACAAAAAAATATTGGAGTAGCCCAAGATATAGCCAAAGATTGCAGCGCCACAGCACTAGTGAAAATTTAAATTTACCAACTGAAATTCTGTCGGATAAATGGCGCTCTACTGTAACTTTATTTGTGGATTTGCCTAATTTGTTTATTCATTAATAAATATCAAATTCAATAAAAAAATATACAAAGATAAATTATATTTACAAAAAAAAGGAAGGAGAAATTTTAAATTATATATAATTTTTTGACAATTAGCATTATTATTTTATGTTAGTGGAGTTTTCAATGTCTTAAGTATTATGTATTGTTCATTACTAAATTAACTTTTAACTGAAATACTAAAACTGAGAGCTTTTATTGTAAATCTAGTAAAACTTCTTATTCTCTTAAAGAATATGATTGAAGGCACAGATGTATTTTTCAGTTATATGTAAATAGAAAATAATTTAATTTTCTAAAAAGCATTCATTACATTTATAATGAATAATTTTGTTTTCAACGATCAGTTATGATATTATTTGGTGAGTTATGATATTATTTGGCAAATATTTATTTGATTTGAAGGTTTTCTGTTAGATTATTATTTTTAAATTATTATTAATTAATCCTAATAGTAATAACTATGAAATCTAAGATGGATAATTAGTATATTAATGTTTGTTTTAGTTTATTTCAAAGTATAATGTTTATATCAATAATCATTACACTTTTCACAACTAATTACATGACATCTACAGGTGGAACATGATCATCTTATAATTAATTCAAACAAAACATTTAAGAATATGAGAATATTTTAAGAAATTAGACAAATAAATAAATCTGTCAGTTGTCAGTTTGAAAACTTCAACAAATAGATTGATTAATGTTATTTTATTTGTTTAGGTGCATACATTTTATGAAGCTGTTGGATGTATGATAAGTGCACAAACAGATCAACTTGTTCAAGAGCATTTAATAGAAAAATATATGTTACTTCCTAATCAAGTTTGGGATGATATCATTACCTGTCCAAGGATGTGTTTTCTGGCCAAGCATAGCCACTGCCCATTATATTATGCTTGTGATACGGTTGGCAAGTTGGATCATTATGGAATTTGTTGCATCTCCTGTGAAGCCAATGTCCAAATGTTTTGCAACTGAGACCAATTGAGAGATCTTGGTACCAAATAAAAGTAAAAAGTTTATGAAAATAGTTGGGAACCTGGATCCATGAAGGGGTTGGAGAACAAGATCAAGGCCAAATTTTGCCACTTCAGAGCTGACCAGTTTTCATGGTTAATGGAATGGGTTAAAACTAAAATTTAGATTGCAGCCAGTTGTGATCCTGATTATCTCATCTGAACATTAAACAATCTATCTGCATCCAATAAACCTTATTTTGAAGTAAATAATGATTTTTAAGAAGTTTGAAATTGTGACAATTTTTAGGATACATGTCCTTGAGTGAAAAACAAAGGATTTGAATTTATAGTTCTTTTGATTGTTTCTCTTTATAATATCTAAAAATGGTCTATGCCTAATATTGTTAAAGTTTGTTTTAGATTATAAATTAATTAAAATATTGTTAAAATATTTTACATCTTTATAGAAACTCACGATGGTGTGCAAGATATGGCATGTGATACTTTTATAAAAATTGCACAGAAGTGTAGACGACATTTTGTTCAGGTAAATTATTATTATTATTTTAAGATTTATTTTAGACTACCTTTTTCATATTTTATATTTGTATTATTTATTTTTTTATTATAGATTCAAGTGGGAGAAATAATGCCATTCATTGAAGAAATATTAAATAATATCAATACAATAATTTGTGATTTACAACCTCAGCAGGTGTGTTGTTTAAGATCATCTAAATCTTGGTTTATTTAAATAACAATTGCTTTTAATTATTAAAATATATAAATTTTAAATAACATATTGCATTTCTATAATACAATGATTAATATATTTTTTCCTCTCTCCCTTAAATTTTTTTTTATCAATGATATTACAAGTTTTTTATCAATGATATTACAAGTCAAATAATGAGAGAGAAGTTTTGTAAATTTTTCAAAATGTTTCTTATTTTTGATATACAGTAGAGTGTCGTTTATCCGAATCATTTGAAGACTAGGGTTGTTCGGATAACCGATTATGTACGAAAAAATATATTAACCTATTCCATGTCGAAATTTTTCTCTGTTGTGTGTCACTTTGTGTTGAATTTTCGTCGATGTTAAACCTAATGTAAACTTTTTAAAATAACAATCGTGGCTATTGTATCGTTAAAAATTGTTTTTTTATTTTTTACAAACAAAATAAATATATTGAAAAATGTAAAAACAAAAAAAATTATACTTTAGAAGTTAATCTAGTATCAAAAACATTTGATTCAGCATGACACACACTCCTCAGAAAAAACCACACAAAAGTGCCAGTGCTGCCAGTTAAAACACACACATCAACAAAAAAATATTGGAGTAGCCCAAGATATAGCCAAAGATTGCAGCGCCACAGCACTAGTGAAAATTTAAATTTACTGACNGCAGTTAATAGATGACCAGCTTGACTCTACTGCTAATAGGAAAAGTATGATGTACAGGGGCAAGACACTACTAATTTGAGGTGGAGAGTGCATATTTTAAATTAAATAAATTAAAAATTGCAGTTTAGCATTGTGATGCTGTCACAAAAAATAATTGTTTATTGTTATTATTTTATATTTCTTACATATTCAAACAAGAATATATGAAATAATAGTTATTTAGCTATCCTGAGTTATCTAACTTTAAGTTTCTACATTCATAAGTATTTTTAAATCTACCATTGGCTTGGTGCAACTTAGCTCAAGATGCCCTTGCACCAAAAACTACAGATCAAACCATAAATTTAACTTCACTTACATATTCATCTTTATTACAAAATCTGGATAAAGAAAACTGATGTGTTTCTCTGTTTTGAAGTTTCCAAGAATTATCTTATTCTCATATATCTTAATTAGGAAATTAAACAATAAAAATAAGACATGAATGATTGTTTTTACAGTTGTCATTAATTTTTCTATAATATATGCATTTAAATCAGAACAAAGAGGTATTTTCCATATAAAAAGTATTTAAAATATTTTTGATAAAATAAAAATTTGTAAACAATACACAAAATAAAAAACTTTTGACTCTTCTGGATCAGTTTACAGTGTAACCTGCTAATTGAACCTGTTAAGTTGATCACTGTGAGTTGGTCTTTGTAAAATAATACATTTTTGTAGTGGAGATATTTGCATACAGTAACCACCTGACTATTGTGACCATTGACCACTTTGATCATGTATGTCTTAAGGTAAGAAATCATCTTGGATAAAGTGACCATTAAAAAATAATAATAAAAACAAAACCATTTTAAAGGATGTAATTCAATTTGTAGCAATCACGTTGCAAATATAAAATATTTGAATCATTGTACTTTATGGATAAGAAGTTTAAACTAAATTTCCTATAATCTTTTGAAGTCTTTATTTTAGAAGCTTAAGTAAAAGAAATGATAGTTTGAAAAATTAAAAATCTGTATCATAAATTGAAAACACCACTAGCAATGTGCCAGCACTGCAATTTTTTGGCAGCAGCAGGCAAATTTTAAAATTTCTGTTATGATAGAGATTGTGTTGGGTCACTATTGAGGTTTCTATTGTCAATATTTCATAGTTTGGCTTTGTCTAGTAAAGTGATCTAGCTTCACGTGTTCTTTGTGTAAATTTTTAATTAGGTGAGATTCATTTTCTTTCTTTTTTCAATAACTCACTCGCTGACCCCAATTAACTTTTAGAATGGCTAGAAAGGATACAAAGAGCTAAATCTTCAGCAGAAATGTGAACTGATCCACTTTCTAAAAGTCATAGTGAGAGGTGAACAGCTGAGAAGTTGAGTTAGTAAGACAACAGTAAACAACATCAAAAAGAGGAAGCATGAGTCTTTGTTCAAATTGAGCCCGGAGATATGAACAGAAAGAAGTGGGCATCTGAATTTGATGGCATGAATTTCTAAATTCTGAAGTGGTAAAATGAGGATATTAAATGAAAACACAGATGAAGTTATTGACTGTGATTGTGATGTTATGACCATTGAATCAGTTGATTCAGAAAATGTTTTTGGAAATGTCCTAAAAGAGTTCAATATGGGGAAGAATGATAGTAGTGAAAATAAAGGAAATCTGTATCATAACGAAGGGAACCCTTGCCTTTATCCCACAAGGAAGTTTATGATGTGATGTAGAATTTCATATTTACTAAATTTGAAATACTGTATTTAAAATTAAGGTTAGCGAAATATTTCGCATCTTTTCAGCATGAATATTTTATAAACACTCCTATTGTTTTTAAGTGTTTCATGCTATATGTTAATGAAATAATTTAAATGTTAACAGTTATTTAAAATATTTATATTAACAACATTCGGGTTTAAGAAAAGTAAATTTTTGTTAGTGAAAGGTATGAGGTATATGTAGCAAGAATTTTTAAAAAAATAACAACTTTATTTTTCAGTTAGGAAGAATTTATTTGGATATGTTAAATGTATATAAAGTAATGAGTGAAAATATCAGTGCTGCTATTGCATTAAATGGAGAAAGTGTTACAAAACAGCCGCTTATTAGAAGTATGAGAACAGTAAAAAAAGAAACATTAAAACTGATTTCTGGTTGGGTTAGCAGATCTACAGATCCACAAATGGTAAGTGAAGTAATTGTTTTAATCATAATTTTAAAAATTTTGAAATTATCACATAGTTTTAAATTTAATTATTTTTATGTCAATTAAAAAATAAATGAATAGCTATAAACTTCTTTGCTTTTGAATATAATTATATTTTAATCATTGAAATTATATATAGTTACTGAAGAGAGAATTGTATTAAAAATTAATTTTTAGTTTAAATTTTTATTTGGATCTGTTGTTGTTTATTGGGCTGCAATTTGAAAAAATTGTAGGGCGATAAATTCCCACTGCCGTTTGTTAGTCCATCCATCTTTTCTTAATCTCGAGAACAGAGTTAGATATATAAAAGACAAGACCAGATATGGAAACCTTAGGGGCAGGATGCCTCAATTAACTATATATGAACTTCTGATGCCAACCGAAAGTCACGTTTTTTCAATTCAAAACTTTTTCTTCTGAAAGCAGTTAATAGATGACCAGCTTGACTCTACTGCTAATAGGAAAAGTATGATGTACAGGGGCAAGACACTACTAATTTGAGGTGGAGAGTGCATATTTTAAATTAAATAAATTAAAAATTGCAGTTTAGCATTGTGATGCTGTCACAAAAAATAATTGTTTATTGTTATTATTTTATATTTCTTACATATTCAAACAAGAATATATGAAATAATAGTTATTTAGCTATCCTGAGTTATCTAACTTTAAGTTTCTACATTCATAAGTATTTTTAAATCTACCATTGGCTTGGTGCAACTTAGCTCAAGATGCCCTTGCACCAAAAACTACAGATCAAACCATAAATTTAACTTCACTTACATATTCATCTTTATTACAAAATCTGGATAAAGAAAACTGATGTGTTTCTCTGTTTTGAAGTTTCCAAGAATTATCTTATTCTCATATATCTTAATTAGGAAATTAAACAATAAAAATAAGACATGAATGATTGTTTTTACAGTTGTCATTAATTTTTCTATAATATATGCATTTAAATCAGAACACAAGTATTGTATTTAATATATTTTTGAAAGAATAATTATATATCAAGTTATGTCTTCTCTTTAATTGCATAAATTCATTTACTTTTATTTTTAATGCCAAATTATATAAAATAATAATAAATTTTTATAGTAAATTCTGTTACATAAATTATGCTTTCAGAACAATGAAATCCATAAAATATTTGAATATTAGCATTTTAACTTGCTTCTTATATTGATTTAACTTTTAGACTTTCTTACCACTAGAATTATTTCAGTTAGTAATGCAGGTTGTATAGAATAACTATTTAAGTCAATCTTTTTCAAACTTGTTTGGTCCACAGCTTCCATAGTCTGAATTTAAATACAATTTCTTTGCATAAAAAGAATTGCCACAAAGAATAACTTACTTGTTAATTGCTTTTGAACTGGCATATTTTATATCAATTGGTCCATGATATCCAACACAAAGTGTAAAAAAGTTTTGGACATGAATTAATAAAATTGTTTATTTTTTAAATAAAACTTTAACACATTTTAATTACAATTTTATGACATTTTATTCCTGTAAGAAAATTAGTGGGAAGAATGAGCTTGCTTCTTCATCAGTTCTTCAAATTTGGGAAAAAGTTTGGAAACTAGTTTACATCTCTTTCTCAACATTCAGTTGCAATATATATTGTTTTAATTGCTGCCAATGCTGATATTTATTGTCAATGACAAATACTGATATTTACATTATCAGTGAAGTCAGTATTTTATTGGTTTTGGTAAATCAGTTAAATTCTAAAATTTAACCTATTAATATTGTAAACATTGGTTTCAATTTGATGTATTAGTTATTGGTACACAACTAATAGTAAACTAAACTACTATTTTGCTATCCCACCACAATATCCTTAGTGGAAGGCTGTGATGCCCCTGGGAGCCACAACAATGCACAGTTTGATAAATGCTGATTTAAGCCATATTTATTTTATAATTAGTTTAAAAATTTTTGTTTTTACAATTGTATCATAGGAAGTTATATTTTTTGATAATAAGGTTAAAATACAATTTGAGTCTTGTTCTTCTAGTTTACATGTAATGCATACTTACATTATATACATAAAAGTATTATTTGATAAATATATGTATTCTTGAAAGTTTCTTTTTATATTAAGACATAATTATGACATTAATTATAAACATAATTATTTGCTTATGGTTGTTATATAAATGAATAATCATAATATTTAACTTAATAATGCTTATTTTATTTCAGGTTCTTGAAAATTTTATACCACCATTATTAGATGCAGTTTTATTAGATTATCAACGATGTAGTGTTCCGTCAGCTAGAGAGCCTGAAGTTTTATCAACTATGGCAACAATAGTAAACAGGCTAGAGGTAAATACATTTTCATTAATAAAATTCTTCTGCTTTTTCCACAATATTCAAACTATGAAAATCATCACTTTGTATAAAGTACAGTGAAACCTGTTCAAAACAACTCTGACAAACTGGAAAAAATATTTAATATTGTGAAATTCTAGTTTATGTAGGTTTTACTGTATTAATTTTTTAACAAATTGCAAACTAGTCAAATTATCTTGTTATTTCTTTAAATCTTTAAGCTCTGAAATGTTTTCTATTCATGTCCTAAAGACTAAATTGTTTTTACTCCTCAGGCTACAAGGGAACTTGTATATAAAAACTTTTTCATTGGATGGTTTCATTTTGAACAAATAAGGGCTATTTTAGAGCAATTCCATGTTTAAAGAGTTAAATGTTAAGATTAATTTCTCTTTTACATCTGAACTTTGTTATGCTGAAATTTGAAAAAATTGAAGACCTATAAATTTTCACTGTTGCCTGTCTGGTTGTCTGTCCTTAATTAAACTCAAGAACAGAGTTAGATAGATAAAGTCGAGATCAGACATGGATAGCTTAGAGATAAGAGCCCTGATTAACTATATATAAATTTCCAGTTCAAACCAAAGTCATGTTATTTCAATTCAAAAATTTTCCCTCAAAAGGAGTTAGAAGACCAGCACAACTTTATTGCTAAAGGAAAAGTATGATGTACAGGGGAAAGCCATTACTAATTTGAGGTGGAGAGCATATATTTTAAATTAAATAAATTAAAAATTTGATTTAAAATTGCAGTCCGGCATTGTTCAGTTTTGGTTTTGTTTTTCCATGAGTGACGAGTCTTGGATTTGTTTGTAAAGCAGAAATGTGGATCTTAAAAGATAATAAAAAGCTTTATATTTAATACAAGAAATAGATAGATATATTTCCTTAGATTGAAGTTGGAAAATATCAAGCTGAAGTTGGTAAAGAAATGTTTCCAAGTAAACAATTTCAGACATTTTGAGAGCAAAAGAAAAACAAGTGTTTCTTTAATATAACAGTTCTACTAAAAAATAAGTCTTATACTATCCCTGTTATACAATTTATGCCAGTAAAATTTTAGATTAAGAAAAGCACTGGAGTTGCAGCCATTTTTTACTCTTTGTATAGCAAACACTTTAATCTAACAATAATTTTTTTTATGTGTAGAAAATTTACTGAAATGGGTGGTACTTAGTTTAAAGTTGAAAACCAATGCAATCAAGATGTTGATTGCATTTGTTTTCAACTTACCAGTTCTAACATGATTTTACTGTATACTAATATACTTTTTGATATAATGGACGAATTTGTAATAATGAGTAATCATGATAAAATGGACTTTCGTTATAATGTACCAATATCTTGGGTCTCGTAGTGGTCCATTACATTGAGCTTTTACTGTATTTATTAGTACAGTATTTTATTTATTTTATTTTATCTTCAATTTTTAGATGTCAACAAAAAAGAAAAGAAAAATTGAAGATGAAAATCAAATTTATAATGAATCATGGAAATATGATTACTTTTTCATTCATTATGAAAAAACTTGTTTAATTTGTTTGGAAAGTATTGAAGTTTTCAAGAAATATAATGTTAAATGCACTACACCACTAAACATTCCAATAAATACAACTAGTTTACTGGAGACTTAAGAAAAAGCAGAAAAGCTGTAACCTCCCAGCAAGTATTCTTAATGAAGACAGAAATATATTAATATTTTTAATGAATCTGTTACAAAAGCCAGTTATGAAATTTGTAATGTATTAGCGAAAAATTTTCATTGTTTTTCTGATGGGATGTTTATAAAGGGATATATTGAAAAAGCAGTTGAGATTATATGTTTTGATCAGAAGTATCTTATTGCTAATATTAGTTTATCTTGGCGAACAGTAGCAAGAAGAATCAATGAAATGTCTGATAATATTGAAGAATCATTAAAAAACAAGCAAAAGCTTTTGAATATTTTTCCATTTGTTTGGGTGAATCTATCAACATAACAGATACGGTCAACTTGCAATTTTCCTTTGAGGCATTGATCAGAATTAAACTTTACTGAAGAATTTTTAATTTAGTTTGGGTGAAAGGAAATACTACAGGAGAAATTATTTATTGGGCTTTTGAAGAAACATTATCAAAAAATGAACTCTCATTATTACAACTGTGAATTACAACTGATGGCATGCAGTCTTTCAGAGGAGAGTGACATCGTTTAATTGGTATTCCCTTGAATAAATTAGCACAAAATGAAAATTCAAAGTGATTTATTTTTTTTTCCATTTTTTTATGTGGAGAACTTATCTGCTAAGAAAATTAATGTGGGACATGTTACAGATATCATAGTATCCACAGTAAACTTTCTGAGAGGTCGTTCATTGAACCATTGTCAGTTTAAAGAATTTTTATCTTATATTGATGCTGAATATAATGACATTGTTTATTTTACTGGTTAAGCAAATCTTCAGTTTTACAAAGATTTTACAATCTCTTACCAGAAATAAAATTATTTATGGAAATGAAAGGAAAATCTATTAAAGAACTTTCAGACTGTGAATGGATAACAGATGTTGCATTTTTTTCAATATTAAAACACATTTGTCAGAACTGAATATAAAAATGCAAGGAAAAAAATCTAATCGTATCTGAATTTATAACATTTATAAAAGCATTTATATCCAAGTTCTAATTGTGAATCATGCAATTGCATAACAAAACCTGTCACTTTTTTCCAACATTATTACAATGCACTGAACATGAAAATTATTTTAAATATGCACGGAAAGTCAAAGAACTAGGACAAGAATTTAAAAATAGATTTGAAAAATCCCATAGCTGAGAAAATGAAATAAGTATATTTACACTTTTTCAGTAAGCATAGAAAACATCCAAATGAACTTCAGTTGGAGATAATACACTTGCAGTGTAATTTAGATTTGAAAGATATGTTTAAAGAAAAAAATTTGGTAGACTTTTATATAACTTTTATTGAAGAAAATCAATTTCCTAACTTAAGAAAGTATGTAGCAAAAATTCTATCCATATTTTCTACAACTTATGTATGTGAACAGTTTTTTGTCTCAATGAGTTTAGTTAAAAATAAAAAAAAGAAATCAGCTAATAGATTCACATCTAAAAAATAATTTAAAACTAGTGATGACAAATATTCAGCCAAATATTTCTGATATATTACATTCACATCAGTTCCAGCAGTCACATTAAGTACAGTATACCTTTGTTCATTTATAAATATATAAATAAATATTTGTGATTTACCCACATTTTTTTCTTTTGTGTGTAGCCTGCGTCAGTTCGAAAGTTTCAAATGTGGCCTTTACATAGAAAAAGGTTGCTCATTCCTGGTTTATAGTATGAAGTAGTAAATGTTAAATTGTATATTTGACATCACAGATCAGTGAGTTTTTTAAAGTATACAATCTGGAAGTGTATGATTAAAAAATTGTTTGGAACTTTTACTTTTTAATCTAAATATCACTGAAGACGGAACAAAAGTATACATCATTCCAAAATGCATACGTAAATGTAAATTAGTGAATAAAGTTGTCAGTGAAACCGTTGGATGTTAGAAGTGCCGTTTCGAAATTCTCAAACTCACCTGAAAGTTTATAGAGAAAAGAAAGGAAAAAAGTAATAATCATCATTAAAAGAGTAAATTTTTCACTGATTAATTATATAATAAATGAATAAATATGTATGTATGTAAGTACATATGTGTGTGCTTTTTATTATTTATATAAAATAATTACATACAGTTTTTCAGGTTTTATAGATAACACCCTATTTTTCACTAAAAGAAATAAAAGGCAAATAAAAGACAAATTGAATAAATAACTATACAGATGAATCGGAATTTGGGGTTAAAAGCTGAATTTGGATACAAATTCAGCTTTTAACCTCAAAAAATTGCTAATATTTATTTTATTTACTAGAAGTGAAAATTCTTAAGATATCAGAGTACAGCAGAATCCCATAGAATGTGGGGAATATGTTTTGCATTATTGAGACATGCATTATCAGATGATTTTATGCAAGTTTAAACCTAGGCCTAGAAGTTGAAGAAGACAACATATACCTCTGGATGACAAAATATATAAAGCTGTATTGAGAGCAATTTTTTTCAGCCGTATTTATATAAATTATTATGATGAAATTGTTGTTGTTTAATTCAAAATTATAGAAATTATTAATGCTGTGGTAATGATTTATAATAATAATTGATGTTGCATTTTTTCTTCTCCCAGAATCATATAACTTCAGAAATTCCTGAAATATTTGATGCTGTTTTTGAGTGTACTCTTGATATGATTAACAAGGTAAATATCAATATATTAAATATATTTTTACTTTAGGTATGTTTTTAATATTAAAAGCTGCTTATATATTCAATAGGATTTTGAAGAATTTCCTGAACACAGATCAAATTTTTTTTTACTTCTGCATGCTGCTGTTAGTCACTGTTTTCCTGGTAAGCAATAGTTATTTATTAATAATGATAATAATAATAATAATGTGCTGAAATAAACATACACGACATTTGCTATGCTGTTAACAGAACACACAACTGGAAGACACCTGGTATAGACAACATTCACAATTTCTGGTACAAAAAGTTTACATCACTGCACCAGGAACTAGCTAAACATCTAACACACATCATCATCAATCCACAAGACATGCCAAAATTTCTTACTCAGGGCATCACCTACACGAAACCTAAAAACAACAAAACCACAGACCCCACACAATAGAGACCAATTACATGTCTTCCAACACTCTACAAATTATTGACATCCTGTATCACAAACAAAATATACAAACATGTTGAAGAACACAACATTCTTATAGAACAACAAAAAGGTTGCCGTAGAAATCACAGGGGATGCAAAGAACAGTTACTCATAGATTCAGTCATTCTAATTGTATAATTTATTTAATAATTGATAAGAGACAGTGTTTTCAGAACTTAACTCAATTAATTTGAATAAAACAAAGGAAGGCAAGTTTTATTATTTTAACTTATAAATAAATTTATAATTTTTTTCCTCCCAGCATTACTGAATATCCCACCAACACAGTTTAAACTTGTGCTTGATTCTATTATCTGGGCATTCAAGCATACAATGAGAAATGTTGCAGATACAGGTAAGAAGATACATTTTAGCAAAAATAATTAAAATTATTTTCTGGACAATAATCCTTAATTCCTTTTCAGGTTTGCAGATACTTTATCAGTTACTACAAAATATAGGTCAGGAAGATGCGGCAGCACAAAGTTTCTATCGAACATATTATACAGATATATTACAGCATTTATTTTCTGTTGTCACGGATACTTCTCATACTGCAGGTAAGTTTTATAGTACTTTTGTGTAAAGAGAAAAATACGCTTCATTCAACATTCTTGAAAATTTCAGGTTTAACAATGCAAGCTACTATACTAGCCTACATGTTTGGCATTATAGAAGCAGGAAAGATAACAATGCCATTAAATCCTGTTCAGCAAGCCAACAGTCAAAGTAATGTAGTGTATGTGCAAGAATTTGTAGCAAGACTTTTAAAAACTGCATTTCCTCATCTCACAGAGTAAGTTGAATAGCTTTATTAAGATAGTAAATTATATTTTTAATTGTCTGTTATTAATCTACCATTTATTCACTTAGTGCACAGATAAAAATTACAGTTCAAGGTTTTTTTAACTTGGATGCTGATATTCCTGCCTTTAAAGAACATTTAAGAGACTTTCTTGTACAGATAAGAGTGAGCATTTTTGAGAATCAAGGAAAGAGTATTTAAACATTTCCAAACTAATATTCCTCTTTTGTTCTCTTTAGGAATTTGCTGGCGAAGATAATAGTGATCTGTTCCTGGAAGAACGCGAAGCCGCTCTGAGACAGGCAGAGGAAGAAAAACGGAAAATTCAAATGTCCGTACCTGGCATTCTCAATCCTCATGAAATTCCAGAAGAAATGCAAGACTGAACTTCTGGATGTGCGTGTAATGCTGTGAACTGATGTAATGTGCGAGTGAATCCCATTAAGACATGGTATTATTTTCCATGTCATTTCATCTTTCTTTTTTACCATATTTGAATGCCATTAAGTTATGTTGTGGAATTGATGGTATGTGTCAGGATATGTATGTAGTGTGAATGAAGATATCTTACCCAAATCCTGTAGATAAACAATCATTTGAGTAAGATGTCAGTAATTTGACATTGGTACGGCATTCTCCTTTTTTTGGAGGGCTAATCATGGTGTTTTTTTTCTGTGGCTGTAAATAAACATCATTCACAATGCTTTATTCATCTCTTCATAAAGAGTGCTAATTGTCATTTTACAATTAACAGCGTTCTACAAGTCAAGTTACTTTGTTAGTGTTATCTTGCAGTCTTCTAGACAACTTTAGTCAAAATAGACATGTCTGGAAGATTGCAATTATTATGCTGCTTTTTTGGGCAGAAAGACCTTGTGTTGTAAACTACCCATTTCCATCAATTCAGGAATAATTTTATATATATATATATTTAAATATATATATAAATATATAAATGTGTGGGCATATATATATATGTATATGTATATATATATAATATATATGCGCACACATATATAAATTCCCTTAAATATTTAGTTCTAGAACTACCGTGTGGTGTTTGTCATGCACTTGCATCCATTGGATGAGTTTCGCGTCCACTTTTTGTGGATCGTGTTATCTAATGTAATGTAGTACTAGATATCAGTGATTGTTGAGGGATTTTTCAATAAAAGATAGAAAAAATATTGTATTTGTTTTCTTCCCAATATTTTATAGTGCAGATTTATCATCAAAAAGTCTCTGCAGGTGCTTTTACAAAATGTGTAAATTATTGTTTTAAACTCAAACCTTTCATTTGTCTACAGTGAAGCACTTTTTAAAAAAAAATAATTAAGTCTTTCTAATAAAACTCTGCTATTTAAACCCTTGTTTAACCAGACTAGTGTTTTGGAATTTGTTCATTTTTACAATCTATAAATTACATTTTACATTTAAAACTAATTGCGGGTCACTTTTCGGAATTAACTGGGGCATTGATCAATATTTATACGCTAGATGATAGAAATTTTGATTTATTTGTACTTCAGTATAAAATCCGGTAAAACCAATATTTTCGCGGTTTTACTTGGTGTACAGTTAAATTACTTCTTAATAAATTTAAAGTCTTGCGGGCATATTCGATGGCCGGGTGTAGGAGTTGCTATTTTAAATTACAGTAAACTAACTGGATCTGCAATCTAAAGAATGAGCTGCACCAGTCGCTAGCGGTCAGTTAGCCGAAAAATTCCTACTGGCAGTCGCGATACTAACTGATTGTAAACAAGATGGAGAGGAGAGAAATAAGCGGAAGCGGGTGGGAGTATAGACGAAAGTACCGTATGCAATATTTTTATATTCGCGCTTTATAAGTGAATCTTTACGTAATATGATAATCATTTAACTGAATTACGTGACATCTTTTTAAACCGAAATTTACAAGCGTTATATAACATGAGATTTATTATTATTTTTTTTTTTAAATTATTCTGCCAATAAAGTTCTTTTATCACTAGAGTGTTGTGGTAACGCAACACTTCGGCGGGAGATTTGCCAAGAGGAGGACTTTCTGTTGGGAAACGCACCTATTCAGCAGTGGCGTGGCGTCATTAGAAGCGATAGATGCGCCGCTTCCTTTGTATTTTCTAAAAAATAAATACATATTAATTTTAATTATACGAAAATAATCGCACAATATTTTATTATAACCGCATTATGTATCTTATTACAAATTTCTATACTACACGTGGAAAAAAAGATAAGATTGCTATTGTATATTCGAATATTAGTGACGGGATGGAAGCGTCGTATCGTCGGCTTCCAAAAAAAAAAAAAAAAAAAAAATTTCGGAGGGCCCAAATGCCCAAGTTTTATGTAACACTATGGAACTTGCCTGAGTTATCTCGGGTTTTAAAGATTGCAGCATTACTTCTTGCCGCCTGCAGATGGCTGTGATTGGTCATCCATATTCAGCAAACGAGATCAACAATGCAGTTAAGGAGACAAATTCCCTGACTTTTTGACAATTTTTGACAAATTCCCTGACTTTTTCCAAAAACTANAAACAAAACTTAATTTTATTTTCAACTTGTATAGTTCAATTACAGTTCCAATGCATACAGTTCTTCAATTGATAATGAATTTAAAACTAGAAGTTTATGTACATTCTTTGGCTTTAAAGAACTCCGCATTTTGTTGATAGTATTTCCAGCTTTGGAAAATAATCTTTCTGCTGGAACTGAAGTGGCAGGAATGCAAAGCCACTTCATGGCAAGTTCACATAAATTATAGTTAAAAAATTTCATGGATTTCCACACATCCAAAGCATTACTATTGTGAGGCACAATAGGGGCATCTAAAAAAGTTTTAAAATTTGAATTTAAAGTTCCATTTGTGTTAAAATTTTCTATCTTAATATCAATTTTTCTGGATGACCAAAGGTGTAAATTTGTAAACATATTTGCAAGAACTTTGTTTCATCGCAATTTCACAATTTTTACGAAATTCCCGGACTGTCCGAGTGAAAACCGAACAGGTGGTAACACTAGGAACAAAGAATGAACTGCATACATCGATGAATCAAAATTCACATATTGCTAACATCGATTCAGGATCGATGTTTCAAAAACATCGGAAGGTCGATGCATCGACGAACAAAAACATCGGAAGGTCGATGCATCGACGAACAAAAACATCGATGCATCGCACAGCACTAGCACCAACCTCACCCGGTTTAGCTGGTGGAAGCCTACGACCTTGGGTGGATGCTACACGTATAACGCATCCAATTCTATCCAGGACCGGTTTCGTGCTGTTAGCCGCCTGCCTGCTAGATATTTGGCCGCCCTTGTCCGATTACGTGAATCACGATTATAACTTAACCCAACCGATAAGAATTTACCTGTATGTTTTTATGATACTTTTCTGTATAGTTGACAGAAGTTTTAAAAAATTCGTTAAAATATTTGATATATTTATTCCGCTCTCCGATTTTATATTACTCACGGATTTCAATGTTAAACCGGTGATATTACGATTTCGTATGTCCCATTTTTAAGGGGATGTAGAAAAAAACAATTCTTGTATAATGTTAAAAAATTAACTGTTACTTTGGTAGCATAACTTACAACTAAATTTAATGAATGAGAGAGATGCACGAGATAACAGAAAAAGCTCTAGAATTTATTTTCCTTATTGAAATGGACTTATTATTGAATTGGCCTTATACAGTGGGTGATAGGTTAACGAACAGATCGGATAACGAATACTTTCGCGAAAGATTTTTATGTTCGGACAACGAACACATAATCGGATAACGAACACTGCACAGAACGAACACAAGAAGCGACGTAAAATAATGAATACCGATTGGTCTTCTCTTGTCTTCAGGCAACAATTCGAAACTTTTCGGAGTGTGGGAGACGTCGACATCGACGCTCAAGCCGGTATATACCAATCGGATAGTATTCTTCCGAACTTTGAAACTCTCCCTTGTAATTCCAGCCTTTTATTTTTCTGACAAAACAATTCTTTTATGTATCCGCGACTGTCAGGTAGGCACAAGTTAAGTTTTGCGTCTGTTTTTTTTTTTTTTCTTTCAAAAGGTG